GAACCTAAGGGTGGACAGTGAGCCCGTAGTGATGTTTTGCCGCTGCACCAGTGCAGTTCAAGATAAAATGAATTCTCTGGCACTCTTATTGTACCACACACTTTCTAGAAGATACCTTGCAAATGCTTTATAATCTACTAATGAAGAACAAACTGAATTTTCCAAATACTGATTCTAGTATTGAAAACACATAGGAACCAACTAATTGGGAACCTTTTCTCTTTCATTTTGATAAAGGTGTGCATTTCCTGATGGATGGCTCCTATTGTCTGAATAAATAATATACAAAAGTCAAAGTCTCTCTCCTTCATGACTGAGTTGTCAACAATGACTGCACATCAGTGTTACCTCTCGCCCTCCAACCACTCTAGTTTGCTACTGCAGCAGTTCCCCCCCCCCTGTTGCTGGGCTAAGCCAAAAAGCATCTTACGGTCAGGGACCTCTGAAAAGAAGGGAAAAATCTGTGTCTTCTCTGCCTCAGGCAACAGCCTTCAGGGTGTTCTGTTAGTTTCCCCCAGCTATATCATGTCAGGAGCAGGAGGTGGTTCAATGGCTGACTAGCTTCTGCCACTTAAGTAGAAAAATGTGGTTACTAATGCAGAGGGAAATTTATATTATAGAACTTCATTTTTAGTTAACTCAAGGACAGTAGGCCACAAATGAGACTCTGCCATAAGATTCACAGACATAAGACATCTTCCTTCCCTTCTCATCTCCCAGCAGAAATGATCCTATATTTTAAATATTTTATGTAAAGTTCTTTTGAGCTCTTGCAGATATTTCACTGTAGTTATTATGACACTGAGGTGAATGGGAAAAAACACCCGTGTAGAATAAATCCAAATCCCCCAAATGGAAAAGGCAGCAAGGCTTTCAGGAACAGTTCAAAATATTTTCCTATTAAGGCAGGTATCATTTCTCGCTCATCTAAGTCAAGGTGCACAGGGTCAAGGCAAGGCATGTGTGTTTTTGGTCTGGTCTCTGAGTGTTCCTTGTGAATTGCATTGTATGTGAATTTCGGTGTATACATGTTCAATGATAATAAATTGAAATTGATGTTATTATGACAACTTCATACAAGTGTACCAGATAGTTAGTTAGTTCTGTTGTTGTTACTGTATTTTTACTTCCAGGGATGGAAGTGGGTTCTTGAGGCATTTCCTGTCAGAGTTGTCACCAAGTATTTAAATAACCATTTGTTGTCTTTTGATTGTGGCACCTCAAATATGCTGCCTCAGGGAAGCCCAGCTCACCAGGCCTGATAGTTTTATCTTCTGTCAATATGGGAGAGCTGACCCTGAGGCCCTTGATAAATCTGAGTTATGAGAATGATTTCTTTTCATTTAAACAACTGGAATTAGGCATCTACATTGTCTTCAGATAAAGATGAAAAAACAGGTCTTATTGGGATATTTATGCAGTTCCAAGGTGACATTGTGGTGGAGGAGGGAGCCACTGTTCACTCCCAGGGCACAGCAATACCACAACGGATCCTCCACACTCCACTCAGCATTCATAGAGCTAAAAGCCTGATCAGGAATTTAAACAGAGGAAAGGGGAAACTATAAACAGTAGACAGCCATTTTCTGCAACAGTAGAGTAAAATGAAGGAGTGGCACTGCTGTGTATACAACCTTTTTGCTTTCTATAATTTTCTTTTTTCTTTCTCCTGTTTTAGTTTACTAAACTATACTGAAATTTTAATGCACTATTAGGACGAGTGTGTATATTTATGGAATGATGATTGCTGTATGGGCTTTGGCAAGACGTATTATCTTTTGGAATAAGTGAAGAGAGGAGTTGTCAGTAATGGATTCTGTGCTGATGATGAGAAGAGACAGATTTAACAAGATGGTTGGTAACACAGTGATGCCCCTTTAGAGACAACAGTTTCATCTTCTGTCACATAAGCCATATCCCTGGCAAGCTGAAAGAAATGAAGTTAACTGATCTATAAAATAGATTAGTGCCATAATAAAGCATTATATAACCTGGATTTCTCAAAGGTAATGAAAATGTAACTAACATTTATTTGCTTCCATTCCTTACTTGTGTTGCATCTGTCTTTTCTGCCTGCCTGCTGCAAAATCCCAGCTCATCAGGCCCAGATATAAGTCAGTAAGTAGTTATCAGTGTCAGAAACTTCTGACTGGCACTTTATTCAACTAGAAACAAAAAGTTCCTGACACATTTCTCATCAGTTTTTGGCCTTCCATACCTTGCATTTGTACTGGATTTTGTGCACTGACTTTTCCTAAATAGAAGTTGCTCTTTTTGACTCTTCTATTTTGGTCTGGCCTTATTTTGACATTTACCTTTCTTCGGGTTCTCTGAAATTGCCGTACCATCCACTGAGCATTTCTCCTATTTCCCAAATACTTTTCTATGACCTAAATTTATATTTTTGGCAAGCGGTCTTTTTTAAACTCTGCATTTTCTCAAATTAATGAATGTAGTTTTGTATGTACCTATATACACACATACAGATACCCATAGACAAGGCTAAAGTGACACCTTAGATATGATCACATTTGTTGAGACCAAAGATAGGGACTCCAAACTCATGCATCTATAAAAGGTATTTCTCAGACTATACCCATCCCAGATGGTTAAAGAATTATATATAACACTGAAGCAGAGGTGGGAACTTAACCCTCCTATAAGCCCAGATACCAGTTCTGTCCCCACATCTACTCTGTCAGCACAATGACAGGCCTCAACAAGGTCACCCTCCACATTAGGTGTACATTTAACTTGTTCCTCAGCTAATGTGATCTATGCCATCTTTTGCCAACAATGAACATTCTTTTGCCCCTTTTCTACATAGAATAATCAGGAAAATATCTACTCTAGTCTTCAAGGTGCCACAGCATTTCTTTTATTCACTTTTTGCTTGCACGGACTAACCCAGCAACTTTTTTGAAGACATTAGTGTAATTGGGATTGGGCATCGTTATATCAACTTGCCAACCCAATATATCTTCTCATATTTACAATAAAGATGTCTGTCCTTTCTAAGCTATTATTTGGTGTGAAACATGCTAGAAATAACCAAACTAATTCAAACTCTAAAGCTAATACAGTTCACTGTCCCCTTATTTCAGAGCTGGAGGCACTGTGGGAGGGAGGGAGTGACCTATGAGAACTCTGCTGGGTAGATCAGACTAAAGGTGTGACTTCACAGTGGAGTAATTATGGTTTGATTCTCTGTGATTCACAGATTAAGTTTCCCCAGTGAAAGCACTGTAGCTTTCCAAACAACAATTTGCAGAAGTCAGCAGAGGCAGTTAGTACTTTTTGCACAGACCTCCTACAGTAAAAGCTGCCTTAAGGTGCTAAGAAGGTGCTCATTGGCAATTTTCTTCTTTCTCTTTTATTGAGTTCTCCTAAATGACATAATGATGCTGAATCAAACCTTTTTTGTTTTTTGTGTTTTAAATTGTTTCAAGAGTTAGGGTACATGGTTGTGGGGTACTGACATCCCAGGGAGCACCCTTTTGCATGAGATCAGCCAACCACACTGGCAGAAAGTGCACAAAAGTGACATAAAACTAATTGGAACAAATTTAACCCACCCCAGCCAGCTGACAAAAAACCCAGACAGCTCCCCATTTAAAAGAATTCCACAATAGGTTTCCATCACACTGAGATTTATGTCATAAAGTTACTGGGGTTTGATTTGATTTCATCTGTGCTCAATCTAATGTGAATTGTGGGATAAATGGCCAGTGCGGTCTCCTCCCAGCTGCTTCAAGTCATACTCTGAGTGTTGTCCACATATATTAGACATTAAAAGCACATTGGATTAAAGCTGAGAAAGTTGTTTACCTTTGTTGACAAGTAAACTTTACCATTGTTGACAGGTAAAGTTGTTTACCTTTGTGATCGAGTTTTTTTAATCTCTATATTGCATGTTGGACTTAGAGGTTACATACAGTTGTCTGGTAGTGTTGTTCACACATATACCTCTAATACAAGTCAGATAAATGGGCTGAGAGAGGTGGCCTCTAAATCAGATGCCAATAATCCCAACAGACCGAGGGGCAGTTCTCTATTTTGCCAGCAGCCCGGGGGTTGCACATCCGTCCACTGAAATTTAGTAATCTGTCTTTCCAGCTGTTTTCCGGGGTTTGCCACAGGTGTTTATTTTTAAAGTTGATTACAGGTGTTACATGAAAAAAAAAGTGCACACCACTTTTCTTTCCATCTAAAAATGCATGGCTTGACCATCATTGTCTTTATTACATGAAGAAGTTTCAAACATTGTATTTTCTTCAGTTTTAATTTGTGACTATATGTTATTTTGTATTGCTTGTCCTGATGGTTCAAGGCTGTTTAAGAATCAGAGAATCACAGAGCTGGGATTTGTTAATGCATTTAGATGCCTTTTTTCCAATTCATCTGATGCTGGAGATTTGAACCCGTTCAAGGTAGTGAGGTATCCCTTGACTATTTGTTTATCAATCTCCAACTGCAATCTTGTCCCCTCCACCTTCACTTTGCAGTTGTCTGGAGGGTCATAAACTGTCCTTTGGGAAAAGACTGAGCTAAAAAGGGAATTGAGCACTTCTGCCTTTTCTTTGTCTTCTGTTTATCATTTTCCCATCTCCACTGAGCAGCTGAGCCACTGTTTCTTTTCTTTGTCTTTTGTTGCACACGTACCTGAAGAATGGTTTTTTGTTGCTTTCAGTGTCTCTAGCTAGCCTCAGCTCATTCTCAGCTTTTGCCTTTTTAATGCGATCCCTGCAATTCCTTCCTGCTTGTCTATACTCTTCCTTTGTGTCCTGGCCTTCCTTCCACTTCCTATATGTGTCTTTTTTTGTTTATTTGTTTTCAGGTCCTCTCTGAGTTTTTGCGAATCCCCATATAAGAGATCCAGGTGGGATGGGCAGATATTTTGAGGGAGAGGTGCTCAGACGGGTAACATGGTGTTAAACTATTAAGGGCTTTACATGCTAACATAAACTCATTTATGTCACTGTAAACTGTAAACTACTCACGCTTTGGCCCACTTGTCAAGTTCTTCATCCAAGTAAGTTTTGATTTTCTTTGGCTGGAGACCAAGAGAGTTACCAGCAAAGTAGATGCAATTTTCATTCGCCTTCACTAGAGCTGGGTTGGCTGAAAGGGGAAAAATCCAGGAAAGCCATGAAAAATACTGCCACTGGCTACATAAAATATTCCACAAGGAAAATAATGGATCCAGTCTTAACTGTCATCCTCTGTACATGACTTCCCAGAGCTCATATTTCTGAGACCAGCCTTTAATACATAAATCAAGATGGCACTTTTGAGAAATAAAATTACTTTCATTAGACCACATATACAGCAGAAAAAGAATCATGTAATCAACTCTGTGTGCTCTATTTACTAAATATAGAACTCGTAACATTCAGCATGATGCTGTTCTGTGATGGACAGGAATGGAGTATGTATATGAGGGTATGTAAATTGGTATGTAAATTCTGTTAAGTTTTCCATTTACAAGTTCGTTTTCTATAGTCAGTAATAAAAGAAAAACAAGGAGGTGGCGCACAGCCTCTTGAGTTCAAATATAAAACTATATGCCTAGGAATCTGAAGGAGCCTTTCAGTGGATCCAGTTCCTCAAGTTCATGACTGATGAAAACATCAGCATTACACATGGAGGATCCTGTCTATTGTGTTGTATTCTTTTTCTTAATGGGTAATAAAGCTTAGCTCCTTTTAAAATAATGTCCAGTCTGTCCATTGCCTCATCTGGTCTGAACACATTCCTGGAATTTCCCCAGTTAATAAAGGGGAAGACAAGCTTTAAACCTGGGAGCTTTGCTATTGAGTACTCCCCCCCTTTAAAAAAATATTTAAAAAATACTATGGGGTGGGGAGATGGGAATGTGTGCAGCCCTCTAAGGTATGGAAGTAGTTTTCTGTGACCCTCAAAGGCCTGGGATTCACCCACTCCTTCGCTAGTGTGTTTAGTGGTCTTCTACAATTTTTGCCTGGTCTTCTAGTAATTTAACTAATGAATATGTATTGTGCAATATGAATACTGCAGAAGAACCATTCATTTTCTGAGTTGGAAGTGAGTATATTGAAAATTCAAGGTTTTTTAAAACCCTTCTATTGTGTGTCCGTGTTGAAAATTGAGGAGAAAACAAACCCTTGTATGAGGGAAGCTATCTATTGAAAATGCTTTCCATTCAAAAGGAGGAAGCAAGACTGTCTGGCATAAATTAGAGGTCAGGAGAAGAGATTAGCCTCTCTCATAACCTTTCGTTCCATAGACTGCTGTGTTTTGTCATAGGTCATAAGGGATGGTGTTCCAGTTACTGGCCAAACAACGTTTTGCATGCATCAGCCATTGATACCCTGTGCCCAAATGTGTAAAAGTGGATTGCTTTATTAAAATTAACATAAAATACTTACTATATAAATAAGACATAATAATGAGTTTACATTTGTCAGAGGCAATTTCATTTTAAAGCTCTAGGAAAACAGATTAAATAACTGCAAAGCTCTTCGGACTAGGTTTTTGTGATAGTGCTTTGAACTCAACCAGTAATACATTTGCCAGGAGTAAAAGACAACCAAGATAACTTCTTAATTAAAGCTTTAAAGACTTTTTAAAAGCCCGAATCACAACAGGCATTTCAATCTAATCTATATCACTGAAGCTTTCCCTGCTTTTCATCAGCTTTCGTTAAAATGAGTAATAACTAAAGTGTGGATATTATTCACACTTCAAATTGGTTCTGTTCACATGCATTAGTTACTCCAAAGGACAATAATGGAGTCTCATTGAGATTAGAGGAAGCAAGATTTTATTTGGATCTCAGAACCATGAATTTTACCACGAATCCTTGAATTCCTCCCAAGTATTAGAACAGGTAAAAGGCAAAGGAGCATTCTTACCCATTCCTTCTATAACCATACAATGCTAGGTAAATCCTGAAGTGCAAAACCATGGTCTCCACCTGGTAAGCCTTTGTTATCACCTTGACTAGACAATGGAAATTCCATATCTCCCCAAGCAGCTTTCATTCCCAAGAAGGAAGTCGGAAACATACAGTTTCAGGTTTGTTCTTCCATCGCTCCCAGCAAACACAGATTTTCTACACACATCCCTCAGTCAGAGAGACCAATTTGTAAAGATATGCCACACAGGTTAAATGGACCTCCCACCTGTTATTGTCTGACCAGCAGAAAAGGTTCAATCATAACAAAATAGGCTCCAGACTACCTAGGCATAAACTGGTTCAACATAACCGCTGGTTGGTCATCAGTTGCAGTAGCACCTCACGTCCCTCAAGCCCTATTCAGTTGTTCTATAATCTGGAAACATAAACATGGTTACAGGGAAGAAGGTAGCCCCAGTCTCTTCCTTCATCATTCTGCTCATACAGCCAGCAACAAGTCTGAAGAGAAGAGATTCCTGCTCAAGCACTCTGGAAAACCTGGATTCTTGCTTGCATGTGAAGCCTGCATGTGAGCAGGGCCCTTCTCTCTTCCAGTCATGTCACTGCCTGCATGAACAAGACAATAAGGAATGGGGTGGAGCTAGCTCCTCGCTGCATGCCCAGAACTTCTGTAAGTCCACTCCTCCTCTTAGCATTGTTGATGTTTCCTGGATTGGCAGTTATCATAACATATACATGCCTAGGACCTTAATATCACAAAACAACCAGTAATTGGTTTTACAAATAAAAAAAAATTGGAGGGGAGATTGTTAAAACACTTGTCAGATAATTTATTCAGAACTTCCTTAACCACAAAGGTGTATCACAGCCAGTGCTATGCACCAAACATGGCAAGATCTGCCTAGAGAAACACTGTCACATCCCCAGTCATGTGGAGGTTAAGCAGGTCCACTCACAGTGAAAGATTTACAGTGGGGTACCACTCAGAACACCATGTCTAGAAGCATCCACTATTACTTTTATCCTGAATTTGTAAACCTGTATCCCTTTAAATACAATTCCAGTAGAGCATGTCACCAAGCAACATATTGCTGCATCCTCCTCACACTTCACATTTATTTTATTTTCACTGAAAGGTTCAGTGTTAAATCCCTTGAAAAAAAATCCATCCATTCATCATGTTCTTGTTTGACCGTGGTTACTACCTGTTTAGGAGGAAGTGGAAAAGGCATTGCTACAGTTTGTTCGCTGCTACTATCTGCATGGGTAAAAGGTAGACTATTCCTTACAGTTCTACTCAAGCTGAGAGGATCTGCAAAGTCTCTACATAGATAAAAGAAATCTGCTTCTGCTAATGAAGCTGGACTTTCTGGATACTTGGGGTTGAAGGTGTCCTGATCTACTCAAATGGTATGGAAGGAGCCAACGTGTTTGGAAGGCCAAGCACTTGGATGATGAAGCCTTTGGAAAATAGATTTGTTTGTTTTCTACATTTCTTGACTGGACCTGCTAAATCTCTGCCATCAACAAATAGCATGTAAAAATGGCACACAAAAACTCCTTTAACAGTTGTTCCCATTGTTTATGATATGCCTTCCTATAGCTAGCTGACTGTGAGTTTTCTTTCTTTCTTTCCTCCTTTCTTTCTTTGGTTTTACAATGAGGTTAAGCTATCCTTATGAGCTTCTCTATATACACAATACATCTTCTTTATGGAACATGCTCCATTCCGCTTTCAAAACAAAACTACTATACAATGTTTTATGTAAATATACAAAGAACTTGGATTATCTCTTTACATTTCAGGAGCACGACAGACATCTAGGATCCATTTGGGTCACAGATAAATGTCAAGCAAGCTCACTCAAGCTTGCATATGTCATAGAAACTATATTTATATATTTACCCCTACTGTTCTTCAGGACTTTAGCTGGCATTGGTGACAGCTTATAAAAAAACAACACTCTGGATGTTATATTCACACTCTGGATTCTTGATAATAATGCTTTTCTGAGTTATCTATCCAAACCTGTCAGCATCCTTTCTGAATGGTGGCATCAATGACTGAGTATTTCAGCAAAGTTGGGAATGCTACAATTAATTCCAGAGTCTTGAATATGGATGGACCTGTTGATCCTGCCTTGAAAAGCAATTGGCAGTTTTGGAATCCCGTTGCCTAGCACAGTAAGTTGCAACTAGAGTAGGCCAATTGAATCATCAGAACTTATGGAGGAGTCAATTCACCAAATTCACCACTGATTCGATAAGACTACTCTAGTGTGACTTTACAGGATTTTGGCCATAATCTCATTAAAGGCTCATGTTCAGCTGGTTTATGTCTTGTTCAAACTTATAGTTAGCATAACTTAGGAGCAGATGGATGATATAATGAATTTCCAACCAGCAGTAGTTCAGAATTTTGGTAGTGCGGGTCTACACAGACTTTAAAAATACACATGTATATGTTATATTTTAATCTAATTGGCATCAAAAGAAAAATCTGTTAAACGAAAAGGGTTTTAACTGCCCCATATGTGTACGAATGATTTTCCAAGTTTTGCAGCTCTTCTGGGGAAGTTTTATCATGATGGTTTTTAGTACTATTATATAGTGTTTTAAAATTTCCTATTTTATCTGTTGTGAGCCACTTTGGGTCTCCTAGGGGGAAAAGGTGGCATATAAATAAATAAATAAATAAATAAATAAATAAATAAATAAATAAATAAATAAATATCCCACAAAGAAAAAAAATCACTTGTAATTTCAATAGATCTAATTTGAATTTTCACTTCAACATTGATGTATTTGCATGGGATAATTGAATAGATCTCATTCCTGCAGTGCAAAGAGACTTTCAGCTCCAGTTCTTATTGGCCCTGCCTATATAGCATATAGATTGTGCACCACTGCCACCAAATCACTTGTTTTGCGGTACATAAACTTCATTGTGCAGTGTTGGCATGGGGTTACTATATGCTATACAGAGTGGATCTTTCCTGTATGTATATATTCAGTTCTCATATAGGCTGAAATCCTGTTGCATAGCATAGTAAATTGCAACTAAAGTAGGCCCATATGAATCAGTGGAACTTATGGAGGAGCTGACTCACCAAAGCCTGTTTATATATATATGAATGAAATTGATTAAGACATTCTCCCAATAGTCTTAATCATATATATAGTCTTAATCATTGCAACTAAAGTAGGCCCATATGAATCAGTG